TGTCATTCTACTTTGATCCATTCTCTCTAAATGACCAAACCACCACAACAACCCCTCTTCAGCCCTCTAATACTTTTATTAACTCCACACCTTCTCCTAATTTTCACACTCCAAATTTTCTGCATAATATTTACACCACACATTACCCTTAGATAGGACATCTCTCCTGCCGCCAACCGCCTCCTCGCTGCTGTATGTTCACTTTCAACTTTCTACCTTTACACACGCACCCAAACTCATCCACTAACCTTTGCAATTTTTCTTTAGAATCTCCCATAAGCACAGTATCATCAGCAAAAAGTAACTGTGCCAATTCTCATTTTGTATTTGATTCCCCATAATTTAATCCCGCCCCTCTCCTGAACACCCTAGCATTTACTTCTTTTATAACCCCATCTAAAAATATATTAAACCATGGTGACATTACACATCCCTGTCTAAGACCTACTTTTACCAGGAAGTAGTCTCCCTCTCTTCTACACACCCTAACCTGAGCTCACTATCATCAAAAACTCTTTACAGCATTTAGTAACTTACCACCTATTCCATATACTTGTAAAATCTGCCACATTGCTCCCCCAACCACTCTATCATATGCCTTTTCTAAATCCATAAATGCAGTAAAAACTTCCCTACCTTTATCTAAATACTGTTCAAATATATGCTTCAATGTAAACACTTGATCTACACATCCCCTACCCACTCTGAAACCTCCTTGCTTATCCGCAATCCTACATTCTGTCTTGCCTCTAATTCTTTCAGTAATAACCCTACCGTACACTTTTCGTGGTATACTCAGTAAACTTCCTCCCCCCCCCCCCCCCAACAAGTCGGCCGTCTCCCACCGAGGCAGGGTTACCCAAAAAAGAAAGAAAATCCCCAAAAAGAAAATACTTTCATCATCATTCAACACTTTCACCACACTTGCACATTATCACTGTTTTTGCAGAGGTGCTCAGAATACAACAGTCTAGAAGCATACACATATAAAGATACACAACATATCCCTCCAAACTGCCAATATCCCAAACCCCTCCTTTAAAGTGCAGGCATTGTACTTCCCATTTCCAGGACTCGAGTCCGACTATATGAAAATAACCGGTTTCCCTGAATCCCTTCACTAAATATTAACCCTGCTCACACTCCAACAGATCGTCAGGTCCCAAGTACCATTGTCTCCATTCACTCCTATCTAACACGCTCATGCACGCTTGCTGGAAGTCCAAGCCCCTTACCCACAAAACCTCCTTTACCCCCTCTCTCCAACCCTTTCGAGGACGACCCCTACCCCGCCTTCCTTCCCTATAGATTTTATATGCTTCCATGTCATTCTACTTTGATCCATTCTCTCTAAATGACCAAACCACCTCAACAACCCCTCTTCTGCCCTCTGACTAATACTTTTATTAACTCCACACCTTCTCCTAATTTCCACACTCCGAATTTTCTGCATAATATTTACACCACACATTGCCCTTAAACAGGACATCTCCACTGCCTCCAACCGTCTCCTCGCTGCTGCATTTACCACCCAAGCTTCACACCCATATAAGAGTGTTGGTACTACTATACTTTCATACATTCCCTTCTTTGCCTACTATACTTTCATACATTCCCTTCTTTGCCTCCATAGATAACGTTTTTTGACTCCACATATACCTCAACGCACCACTCACCTTTTTTCCCTCAATTCTATGATTAACCTCATCCTTCATAAATCCATCCGCCGACACGTCAACTCCCAAGTATCTGAAACCATTCACTTCTTCCATACTCCTCCTCCCCAATTTGATATCCAATTTTTCTTTATCTAAATCATTTGACACCCTCATCACCTTACTCTTTTCTATGTTCACTTTCAACTTTCTACCTTTACACACATTCCCAAACTCATCCACTAACCTTTGCAATTTTTCTTTAGAATCTCCCATGAGCACAGTATCATCAGCAAAAAGTAACTGTGTCAATTCCCATTTTGAATTTGATACCCCATAATTTAATCCCACCCCTCTCCCAAACACCCTAGCATTTACTTCCTTTACAACCCCATCTATAAATATATTAAACAACCATGGTGACATTACACATCCCTGTCTAAGACCTACTTTTACCGGGAAGTAGTCTCCCTCTCTTCTACACACCCTAACCTGAGCCTCACTATCCTCATAAACTTATTCCCCTATAATTTTTACAATCTCTTGTCCCCCTTCCCTTCATATAAAGGGACTATACATGCTCTCCGCCAATCCCTAGGTACCTTCCCCTCTTTCGTACATTTATTAAACAAAAGTACCAACCACTCCAACACTATATCCCCCCCTGCTTTTAACATTTCTGTCATGATCCCATCAGTTCCAGCTGCTTTACCCCCTTTCATTCTACGTAATGCCTCATGCTCCTCTTCACTCCTAAAAGATGGTATACCTCCCTGGCCAGTGCATGAAATTACGGCCTCCCTTTCTTCCTCGACATTTAAAAGTTCCTCAAAATATTCTCGCCATCTACCTAATACCTCCCTCTCCCTATCTACTAACTCCCCTACTCTGTTTATAACGGACAAATCCATACGTTCCCTAGGCTTTCTTAACTTGTTTAACTCTCTCCAAATTTTTTTCTTATTTTCATTAAAATTTCTTGACAGTGCCTCTCCCACTCTTTCATCTGCTCTCCTTTTGCACTCTCTCACCACTCTTCACCTTTTACTCTCCATATACTCTGCTCTTCTTATAACACTTCTGTTTTGTAAAAACCTCTCATAAGCTAACTTTTTCTCTTTTATCACACCCTTTACTTCATTCCACCAATCACTCTCTTTACTCCTCCTGCCCCCCACCCTCCTATAACCACAAACTTCTGCCCTACATTCTAATACTGCATTTTTAAAACTCGTCCAACCCTATTCAAGGGCCCCCCCCCCCCCACTACTCATCTTTGCACTAGCCCACCTTTCTGCCAAGAGTTGCTTATGTCTCACCCGAGCTTCCTCCTCCCTTAGTTTATACACTTTCACTTCCCTCCTACTTGTTGTTGCCACCTTCCTCTTGTCCCATCTACCTCTTACTCTAACTGTAGCTCCAACTAAATAATGATCCGATATATCAGTTGCCCCTCTATAAACATGTACATCCTGGAACCTACCCATTAACCTTTTAACCACCAATACATAATCTAACAAACTACTTTCATTACGTGCTACAGCATACCTTGTATATTTATTTATCCTCTTTTTCATAAAATATGTATTACTTGTTACCAAATCTCTTTCTACACATAGCTCAATTAAAGGTTCCCCATTTACATTTACCCCTGGCACCCCAAATTTACCTACTACTCCCTCCACATCATTTTTACCCACTTAAGCATTGAAATCCCCAACCACAAGTACTCTCACACTTGGTTCAAAACTCCCCATGCATTCACTCAACATTTCCCAAAATCTCTCTCTCTCCTCTACACTTCTCTCTTCTCCAGGTGCATATACGCTTACTATAACCCACTTTTCACATCCAACCTTGATTTTACTCCACATAATCCTTGAGTTAATACATTTATAGTCCCTCTTTTCCTGCCATATCTTTCAACATTATTGCTACTCCTTCTTTAGCTCTAACTTTATTTGAAACCCCTGACTTAATCCAGCTTCTCATTCATTACATCCACAATCATCTCTTTCTTATCATTTGCACAACATCCACGCACATTCATACTTCCCACTTTGACAATTTTCTTCTTATTCTTTTTAGTAATCTTTACAGGAAAAGGGGTTACTAGCCCATTGTTCCCGGCATTTTAGTTGACTTTTACAACACGCATGGCTTACGGAGGAAAGATTCTTACTCCACTTCCCCATGGATATAAAAGGAAAAGTAATAAGACCAAGGACTATTAAGATAAAATCAAAGAAAACTCAGATGAGTGTGTATAAATAAACGTGTACATGTATGTGTAGTGTGACCTAAGTGTAAGTAGAAGTAGCAAGACATACCTGTAATCTTGGATGTTTATGAGACAGACAAAAGACGCCAGCAATCCTACCACCATGTAAAACAATTACAGGCTTTCGTTTTACACTCACTTGGCAGGACGGTAGTACCTCCCTGGGTGGTTGCTGTCTACCAACCTACTACCTAAAAAAAAAATTCAAGCAGTGAATGATAGTTTATTCTTTTTCGGGTCACCCTGCCTTAGTGGGTGACGGCTGATGTGTTAATAAAAAAAATAGATTGGATATCAGATTGGAACGATACACAAATAACCAGCACATAGAAGAGAGGAGCTTACGATGACGTTTCGGTCCGACTTGGTCCAAGTCAGACCAAAACCTCATCGTAAGTTCCTCTCTTCTATGTGCGCATTATTTGTGTATCGTTCCAGTCACGGTATTGTGCCTTTTTTTTTTTGTTATTTATCAGATTGGAAGGAGGGAGTATGGAGGAAGTGAATGTGCTCAGATATTCAGGAAATCTGGTTAGCTGGACTTGAGTCCTAGAGGTAGGTAGTACAGTGCCTGCACTTTAAAGGAGGGGTTTGGGATATTGGCTGTTCTAGGTGACATCTATACTGTCATATCTAGGCACCTCTGCAAAGAGTGATTGGGTCACCCTGCTTCGGTGGAAGACGGCCAGCAAGTTAAAAAAAAAAAAAAAAAAGTGGACCTGTTGACTGATGGGTCTATGAAAAATAAGTGAACTGTAGAATTGATGAGGAATGGGGAGGGAAAGGTGAGTGGTGTGCATTGAGACATCTGTGGAGACAGAATGTTATAAATGGAGGCAAAAGAGTAGTGGTACCCCACGTTTTGGCCATAATTTGTTCCAGAAGGCTGTTAGTGCCGTTACCAAACAAATTTGTTCCCACAAGAAATAATGTAAACTAGTCTGTTTCAGACCCCCAAAAATACACTTACAAAAGCACTTACAACAATACACTTACATAATTGTTCGAGTTGGGAGCTATATGAAACTCGGGGCACCACTGTATAGTGATACCAACACTCCTATATGGGTTTGAAGCAGGGTTTTGAAAGTTGCAATGAGGAGGAAGCTGGAGGCAGTGGAGATTCATGTCTGAAAGTAATATGTGGTGTCAGTATTATGCAAATAATGCTGAAGTGTAGAGACTAGGAGGAAGTGCAGGGTTACTAAAAATGTTACCCAGCAAGCTGTAGAAAAAGGAAGGCGGGGAAGGGGTTGTCCTCGTAAAGGTTGGAGGGAGCGGGCCAAGGAGGTTTTGTGGGTGAGGGGCTTGGACTTCAAGCATGCATGAGCGTGTTAGATAGGCGTGAATGGAGATGAATCATCATTGGGACCTGATGAGCTGTTGGAGAGTGAGCAGGGTAATATTTTTTGAAGGGATTCAGGGAAACCGGTTAGCTGGACTTGAGTCCTGGAAATGAAGTACAATGCCTGCACTATAAAGGAGGGGTTTGGGGTATTGGCAGTTTGGAGGGACTTCTGAACTGTCGTATCTGAGCGCCTCTGCAAAGACATTGATTATGTATAAATGGTGGTGAAAGTGTTGAATGATGACAGTATTTTTCTTTCTTTTTGGGTCGCCCTGCCTCGGTGAGAAACGGCCGATGTGTTAAAAAAATTTTTTTTAGTGTTTTTTTTTTATTATTATTATCACACTGGCCGATTCCCACCAAGGCAGGGTGGCCCGAAAAAGAAAAACTTTCACCATCTTTCCCACCCCCCAACTGCTTGCCAGGGGGGTTTGCTTTAAACACACTTTTTTTAAAAACTGCAACATTAACCCCCCCCTCCTTCAGAGTGCGGGCACTGTATTTTTCCCATCTCCGGGAAAACCGGGGGTCCCGGCCTGGCAAAATAGGATGCCCCTTGGTGTTTTAAATATTTAAGGGAGAAAAGGGGGGGTAAAGGGTCTTTCCGGGGAAAGGGTTTGGAAGGAAGGAAAAAGGGAAATTTTGTATGTAAAGGGCATGGTCATCAAACAGGCATATGGCACACCCCGTTAATGGGAGTGAATGCAAGAAAGGGGTTTTTATGACTTGACATTCCTATTGTGAGCAAGGTAATTTTTAAAGGGAAACCTGGGGGGGGGCCCCCCTTTCTGATGATAATTTTTCCCAAAAGGCATAAAAAAAGGTTGGGGAAACCAAAAAATTTTGGGCGAGGCCCAAAATATTTGCAGGTTTTTTTTTGGGGCTCTTAAAATATTAGGAAAACCCGGAATGTCTAAACTTTTTAATCATTTTCATTTAGAAACTTTCACACAGTTTAAAAGTTTAACAATGTTTTTTAAAAAAGCAAGTCTTTAAGGGTCCCCCCCAAAAAAAAGGGTTTTCCTCAGTTTTAAAGCGGGAAATTTAAATTAAAAAAAAGGCAAGTTTGTGTAAAATGCTAGGGGAGCTTTAAGGGCCCTTTTAACCTGAAAATTTCTTTCCTGAGTTACCAAAATAAATAATGACTGTTTAAACTTCATCCTTCCCCCAGGGAAAAAGGTAATTAAAATTTGCGGGCAAATTACATAAATACCATAAAATTACTGAAAAAAATACTGTATTTGCTACAGGTTACAATACCCATTTTCCCTTAGTGTCCAGTTTTTTTTTTGTACCCGCAGACCAAGTTTTTTTATTTTAGAATTCGAAGCAAGGGGCCTAAAAAATTTCTTTTCAAAAATTTTGGGGATGTTTTGGACAATTGCAGTATCATTACCCCCCTTCTTTCCATTGTGCTTTAAATTGAGAGGGTTCACTTTTAATTTTTTTTATGCCCCCAGTGCTGAGGATGTGATGCAAAAAAATTAAACAAAAAAAGGGAAAGGTTTGTAATTTTTTTTATACAAAGCACGGGAATATGGGTAATTTTGCCCTTTTTTTTGAATTTAAAAAATTGGGGCGTAAGGGAAATTTTAAAGACGTGGTTCTCGAGAAATTTTCTGGGTTTGGGGTAGCCCCCTTGCTGTAGTTATTTTGAAAGCTACCCCCTTTCCCACTTGTTTAAAAAAACTTTGGGGTTTTAAGTGAATTTAAAGCTTAAAATGTAAAAATTTTTTGGGATGCACAATTTCTTTTTTTTTTTTTTTTTTTTTTTTTCCAGGTTTTTTGGGGAATGAAGCATCACATCTTAAGTGTCTAAAATTCATTTATTGGGATTTGATGAGAATTTCAAGTTTTTCCCTTTCTCCATGCTGGTGAAGTAGAAGGCCAATTTGTAAACTTTAAACACAGTAACTCTGAGGAAAACACTTAAATTGTTAAGCCAACTATTTACATTACTGGGGCCAGGTTTTTTAAATTAAATTTTTCTTAGAAAAAAAATTTATTAAATTACCCCTTGGGTTGGCTTTTTTTTTTTTAAAAATGAAATTGGGAATTCAATTTAAATGATCAGTTTTTCTTCACTTTTTGTAATTTTTGTTTTGGGGGGTGAATTCATTGTTATGCAATGTCCCATTTATAATAGTACCTCTGTTAATGCAATATTAATTTGTTGTATACAGGTGCAGTTTGCAAAATATTAGATAATTTATATGCAGAATTAAGTGTTAATGGCCTGATTGAGCTTTGGTACAGCTGCCATGATGCATGTTAAAGTTTATTTTCCTCTTGTCTTAGTGTAAGTTTCCCATACCATCTCTTTTTATGCATAACCTATCGCATTCCTTTGTGTGTCTTACTATTTTTCGTATCTGTTACATATTTAAAATGCTGTACTGGGTTGGTGAAAGACATGTAAGGGATTGTAACAGAATTTAAGAGCTTGTGCAGGAGAATGAAATACATACAGGGTAAAGTGAAAGTATAAAAAAGTGATGAATTTTGGACAAGGCTGAATTTTTGACATGAATAACATTAAGTTGAAAAGAGATTATTTGTGGGAAGTAATTACCTAGGTGATGGGTGAATGGATACAAAGATTTTTACATACGTACATACATACATATACATACATACATACATACATACAAGCAAACAATTCGGCCATCTCCCACCGAGGCAGGGTGACCCAAAAGAAGGAAAATCTCCAAAAAGAAAATTACTTTCATCATTCAACACTTTCACAAAGATGTTTTCATAAAAAGTAGATAGAAAGGCTGCAGATTGTAAAGAGTTAAGAATATGAGTGTAGCAGCCATTTAGGGCTTGGTTCAGTCTTCTCTAATGTATCAGCAAGCTTGTGTTCATTGCAAGATATAACAGTGTAGTTAATTTTTTTTGTGAGTATTGCCCTGATTACAGAGTAGTTATTGGAACAGTTTCACCACAAATTGCCTTTATCATGTTCTTAAAACATAAGAGAAAATTGCATCTTGAGTAGTAATCAAGGTTGGGTAGCTGGAAGTTTGCCAGGACACTTGCAATAAATATTGTATACCTGTAGGGTAGACATCCACCTCCATCTTGTGGCATAGGATAGGGCAACCTTACTGTATGAAAATAACATGATCAGACAAATGCCATGAATCCTCTTTCATTAAACTTGCTGGCACAAATAAAATAGTGGTATGTTTACTTTGTGTACACCCATAGCCCACATTGTATTAGAACAGACAAGTCTAGAGTGGGGCAGTAGGATTGTTGCAATGCTTGCCTGCTTCATGGGCCTCACCCATTCAGCACCTGACTACCCAATCTGAGTATTCTGTATAAGATGTAAATTGGTTTCTGGTGAAACATAGTAACCAGTAAATACTGATCTGTCATCAGTTTCTTGCTATACTGTTGCCTTTTTGCCATTCATCTGTAATACAATTTATTTTTAAGCATGCACCTAGTGAGAAGCAAGCATGTAGTATTAAAAGTACATATTAATTTTGTAGAAAGAATTTATGGCAAGTTGAAGTGTACAAATCTATTGTAACTGGGTAAGCCATCTGGCTAGTACACCTTAGCACTAATGTTTTATGACATTTCATTTGTTTTCCTACTCATTGACCATCTGCCAAGGCAGGGTGTCCTAGAGAACAAGAGATTTTTAAACTATTTATATTTATTAGGAAATATGTGAGACACATCAGTTGTTATTGGACCATGAAGAGATTCTGGCTCCTGACAGCAATGATCGGCTTCACACTTTGTTGTCAGACCTTGGAGAGAGACCCTCTGTGCAGAGTCTGGTGGGAGAAACTATTGGTGAGACAGATTTATTTAATATTGGTGTATGCGTGCATGCATGTGTAGGGCTTTTGTTTTATACAGTAGAGTGAGAATGTTTAAATTGTTCTGGCTAGATTTTTCTATAATTAATAATTAATACTTAATTTGTTTTATAACCCTTAATATATACATAAACATGCCTTACTTCCCAGGTTCACTTTTACCCTATTACTTTTTATTTTTTACAGAGCCTGGGTCTGGTTCAGTTGGCCGAATGGAGGTGTGTCTTGCCCTCACTAACAAGTTTGACATGACTGAAGCTGCAGAAGATAAAGATGCCAAAGAATTTAACAAACTCTTTAATAGGTATTGGGGGTCTAGGTTTGCTTGTATTTTAATGTCCCTGGAAATGTAATGCATTTTTTTTTTATCACATGGGCCATTTCCCACCAAGGTGCAACATTAACACCCCTCCTTCAGAGTGCAGGCACTGTTCTTCTCATGTCCAGGACTCAGTCCGGCCTGCCGGACTTGAGTCCTGGACGTGAATCCCTTCATAAATATTACCCTGCTCACACTCCAACAGGACAGTCCTAAAAACCGTTTGTCTCCATTCGCTCCTATCTAACACACTCATGCATGCTTGCTGGAAGCCCAAGCCCCTCGCACACAAAACCTCCTTTACCCCCTCTCTCCAACCGTTCCAAGGCTGACCTCTACCCTGCCTTCCCTCCACTACAGATTTATGCACTCTCGAAATCATTCTATTTCATTCTGTCCTCTCTACATGTCCAGACCACGTCAACAGCCCCTCCTCAACCCTCTGGATAATAGTTTTGGTAATCCTGCACCTCCTCCTAATTTCCAAACTACGAATTCTCTGCATTATATTCACACCACACATTACCCTCAGACACAATGTCTCCACTGCCTCTGGCCTTCTTGTTGCAACATTCACCACCCATGCTTCACATCCATATAAGAGCATTGGTATAACTATACTCCCATACATTCCCCTCTTTGCTTCCATGGACAAAGTTCTTTGTCTCCACAGTCTCCTCAGCACCACTCACTTTTTTTCCCTTGCCAATTCTATGATTCACCTCATCCTTCATAGACCCATCTGCTGACACGTCCACTCCTAAATATCTGAATATATTCACCATCTCCTTACTCTCTCCCTCCAACCTGATATCCAATCTTTTGTTGCCTATTTTTTTTTTTTTTTTTTTTTTTTTTTTTTGTTATTCTCATTTCCTATGTGTTCACTTTCAATTTTCTTCTTTTACATACCCTACCAAACTCATCCACCAGCCTTTGCAACTTCTCTTCAGAACCTCCCAAAAGCAGTGTCATAGCAAAGAGCAACCGTAACAGCTCCCATTTTGTGTTATTCTTTATATTTTGACCCCAAATCTCTTGCCAACACCTGAGCATTCACTTGTCTTAGAGCCCCATCTATAAATATATTGAACAACCATGGTGACATAACACATCCTTGTCTTAGGCCCACTTTTACTGGGAAATGATCTCCCTCTCTCCTACATACTCTAACCTGAGCCTCACTATCCTCATAAAAACTTTTCACTGCTTTCAATAACATACCTCCTATTCCATACATTTGCAACACCTGCCACATGGCTTCCCTATCGACTTTGTCATATGCCTTTTCTAAATCCATAAATGCCACAAAAACCACTTTACCCTTATCTAAATACTGTTCACGTATACGTTTCACTATAAACACTTGGTCTACTCACCCTCTACCCTTCCTAAAGCCTCCTTGTTCGTCTATCTTACTCTTACTCTTAATTCTTTCAATAATAACTCTACCATGCACTTTACCAGGTATACTCGACACTTTTTTTTTAACACATCGGCCATTTCCCACCAAGGCAAGGTGACCCAAAAGAAAGAAAGCACTTTCATTATCCGTCAACACTTTCACCATCACCCATACATAATCACTGTCTTTACAGACAGTGATTACCTACATAATCACCGTCTTTACAGACAGTGATTATGTATGAGTGATGGTGATACAACAGTTTAGATAGTCACTCTAAACTGCCAATATCCCAAACCCCTCCTTTAAAAGTGCAGGCACTGTACTTCCCATTTCCAGGACTCAAGTCCGGCTAACCGGATTCCCTGAATCCTTTCACAAAATATTACCCTGTTCACACTCCAACAGCCCTTCAGGTCCCAAAAACCATTTGTCTCATTCACTCCTATCTAACACTCTCATGCAGACTTATTTCCCTATAATTTTTGCATTCTCTTTTGTTCCCTTTGCCTTTATACAAAAGAACTATGCATGCTCTTTGCCAATCCCTAGGTACCTTACCCTTTTCCATACATTTATTAAATAAAAGCACCAACTACTCCAAAACAATATCCCCACCTGCTTTTAACATTTTTATCTTTATCCCATCAGTCCCAGCTGCTTTACCCCCTTTCATTCTACCCACTGCCTCACGAACTTCCCCCACACTCAACTCACTCTTCACCCTGTACACGAAATCACAGCTTCCCTATCTTCAACATTTAACAATTCCTCAAAATATTCCCTTCATCTTCCTGATTCCTCCGACTCTCCATTTAATAACTCTCCTCTCGTATTTTTAACAGTCAAATCCTTTTGTTCCTTAGGTTTCCTCAACTTACTAATCTCACTCCAAAACTTTCTTATTTTCAACAAAATTTGTTGATAACATTTCACTCACTCTCTCTCATTTACTCTTTTTACATTGCTTCACCACTCTCTTAACCTCTTTTCTTCTCCATGTACTCCTCCCTCCTTGCATCACTTATACTTTCTAAAAACCTCTCATATACTAACTTTTACTACTATTTACATCATTACACCAATCGCTCTTCTTCCATCCCCCACCCACCCACTGTAATGCAGTTATTGTATTTATTTGGTAAATTTAGAAAATGGCTTTTAAAGTTCGAAAATGCAATTTTTTTTTTTTTTCCAACAAGTTGGCCGTCTCCCACCGAGGCAGGGTGACCCAAAAAAGAAAGAAAATCCCCAAAAAGAAAATACTTTCATCATCATTCAACACTTTCACCTCATTCACACATAATCACTGTTTTTGCAGAGGTGCTCAGAATACAACAGTTTAGAAGCATATACGTATAAAGATACACAACACATCCCTCCAAACTGCCAATATCCCAAACCCCTCCTTTAAAGTGCAGGCATTGTACTTCCCATTTCCAGGACTCAAGTCCGACTATATGAAAACAACCGGTTCCCCTGAATCCCTTCACTAAATATTACCCTGCTCACACTCCAACAGATCGTCAGGTCCCAAGTACCATTCGTCTCCATTCACTCCTATCTAACACGCTCACGCACGCTTGCTGGAAGTCCAAGCCCCTTGCCCACAAAACCTCCTTTACCCCCTCTCTCCAACCCTTTTGAGGACGACCCCTACCTCGCCTTCCTTCCCCTATAGATTTATATGCTTTCCATGTCATTCTACTTTGATCCATTCTCTAAATGACCAAACCACCTCAACAACCCCTCTTCTGCCCTTTGACTAATACTTTTATTAACTCCACACCTTCTCCTAATTTCCAGTCTCTGAATATTCTGCATAATATTTACACCACACATTGCCCTTAGACAGGACATCTCCACTGCCGCCAACCGTCTCCTCGCTGCTGCATTTACCACCCAAGCTTCACACCCATATAAGAGTGTTGGTACTACTATACTTTCATACATTCCCTTCTTTGCCTCCATAGATAACGTTTTTTTGACTCCACATATACCTCAACGCACCACTCACCTTTTTTCCCTCATCAATTCTATGATTAACCTCATCCTTCATAAATCCATCTGCCGACACGTCAACTCCCAAGTATCTGAAAACATTCACTTCTTCCATACTCCTCCTCCCCAATTTGATATCCAATTTTTCTTTATCTAAATCATTTGACACCCTCATCACCTTACTCTTTTCTATGTTCACTTTCAGCTTTCTACCTTTACACACATTCCCAAACTCATCCACTAACCTTTGCAATTTTTCTTTAGAATCTCCCATAAGCACAGTATCATCAGCATAAAGTAACTGTGCTAATTTCCATTTTGAATTTGATTCTCCATAATTTAATCCCACCCCTCTCCCGAACACCCTAGCATTTACTTCTTTTACAACCCCATCTATAAATATATTAAACAACCATGGTGACATTACACATCCCTGTCTAAGACCTACTTCATCAGTAAATCTGTATTATGAAATCATTGTGCTTGATAGTTACACTGATTATGATGTGTTAATTGCCACTGTAAATGTGACCAATGTGTTCATTACTGATGAATATATTTTGCAAACTTGAGTTGCAAAAGTGAAATATATTACATTGTGCATGACTAATATCTCAGGACATTGATATTACTGTAATGCAAAGAGCAAATAACAGAGCTTGGTCCTGATTGCTTCTCAGTAATGTATTTTATGATGAGCATTATGCACTGCAGATTCATTGCAAAAAGTTGGTCCATTGGCATTTTTATTTTTTAACTCTGGATGTCTCCCTTGCAGAATGCAAATTTTAAAAGGGTTTGACTTCAGCCATGTTATTGCTATTATTTCAGAACAAAGCAACTCTTGGTGGATGTCATAAAGTGTGTTGAGGGCGGAGTAATTGGAGAGCTGGTGACAGGGCCTACATTACCACCCCAAGAGGAAAAGTACCGAAGCATTGTCCATACTCGTGGTCAGCAAGAGCACCAAGCTAAACTAAATCATACCACACTTAATCGTTCAAATTCTTTCCTTTCTGAAACTAGGTATGATTTCTTTAACTGGAACTAGTTAATTATTTTTTAACACTGGCTGTATCTCACTGAGGCAGGGTGACCTAAAAAGAAAAACTAAAGCATCTTGCACTTGTATATTTAAAAATTTTACATCTTTCTTGGTTTTCTTGTTTTCTTTTAAACATTACTACAATATTGGATGAAAATAATGAATATTCTAATTAAACGTGAGAAATGTGAACACGTTTAGTAATACATAAAGCAAAATGTGGACTTTTTTTTTCTACTAAAGATTCTTCCTGAGAATTTGAAGACAGATTTATTCTAAAACTGACCAGCTTACAAATGCAAATACAGACATTATTTTGTATAATGAACTCCTAGTTGATACTGATTTTAAAAGACAGAAATTGATGAATTTTATGACAACCAGGTTTGATGTTAAATATTTTGGGATGTAGCTTTTTAATACTAGCAAATTAAAAGATAGAAACCGGCAGGCCGGACTTGAGTCCTGGAGATGGGAAGTACAGTGCCTGCACTCTGAAGGAGGGGTGTTAATGTTGCAGTTTAAAAACTGTAGTGTAAAGCATCCTTCTGGCAAGACAGTGATGGAGTGAATGATGGTGAAAGTTTTTCTTTTTCGGGCCACCCTGCATTGGTGGGAATCGGCCAGTGTGATAATAAAAAAAATATATATATAATAAAAGATAGAAAAAGTGTTTTAGAAAAATTAAGTGCAAAAAATTTTTTTTTTTTTCAAATTTTTTGCAAAGCTAGCTTTTTAGAATGCAGCTTGATTTCATAGCCAAGTTATTAAAATTTCTTATGCTAATAATTTTTTTCCCAACATGTCGGCAGTCTCCCACTGACGCAGGGTGACCCAAAAAAGAAACATTTCCCATCATTCACACATTATCAGTCTTTGCAGAGGAGCTCGGGTACAACAGTTCGAATGTCACTCCAAACAGCAAATATCCCAAACCCCTCCAGGTCAGTGCGTAAGTCTGGCTTACGCATTTGCCTGGAGTTTTAAGACTTGCTTGCCATGAGTTCTGACTCCACCTGTACTATGATTTATATTCTGTACATGTTTTCCACATGCTAATAAATGATTTATGCCTTCTCAGGGTTAGTCTTCATGAAGTAAAGACACGCTTGAGTCACAACCTGCGTCGGCTAGAGAATCAAGGTCTGAGTTCACGTTCAGATAATTACCAAACACTTCTCAATTCTATTGCAAGTGATATTGTCAACCAAAGACAGCATCGAATATGTAGAAAAATGGTAAGAGATAATGGTTTTATTTTTGTTTCCTTGGAGAAGACATAAAGAAGTATTGTGTGAACAGGCTTGTACATGGAACTGCAGTGCAATATGTGCATATTTTAGTGTGCGGGTAAGTTATCTCTATCTTTTGTTTCAACTTCACAAACCAATTCTTTTCCAGTTGTTTCCTGTACCTTCCATACATAAATGCTGAATGACCAGCATTGGTTTAGTGCTTTGTATATTCTTACCTTCGTGGCCATCTATTTGCCAAAGCAGGTTGATACAAAGAAAATGCATTTGCCATCATTTGTTAAATTGGTATCTTTCCAGAAGTGTACTGTCATTGCATTTCAGTCTTTAATCTAAAATGATAGTACACCATTCATCCTCAGATTTATGCACCATATTGCCCAACCTCTGGCTCTATGCTTCTTATATGAACCAGCTATCTTTACTACTGCTTCTTCAATTATTCCTTTCATGCCATCTTCTTATTTTTTCATTATTCTCTGCATAATGCTTCAAAACTGTACAAAAATATTGGACACATTATCCTGATATTTTCCTTTTTCATAAAGGTAAATGAAAATCTGGTAAAGCTTTTGAGGGAACTTAATCTCAAGCTAGACCGAGAGTGGAAGAACTTGAATCTAGCCATAGAGGCATCATTGGAAGAATTGTCACAAACATTCCTAGAGCTGGTTATTGGTGATCTTGTGAAGCCTTTTGTTGCAGAACATCTTCAAAATATAGATGAAATATATTTAATGTCTGGGTAAACAGTGTATTTTGAAACCCAGCTAATTGGTGTTGCTAATAGTGTAATATTTATCATATAATTTTCATACATAAAAAAAGGATTGCTATGCATTATTTAACAGGAGCTCCAGAGATTGTTGATTACTGCCAAACAACTTGAGGATAAGGAGCAGTTTTACAAGGAACAGCTTGACTCCTATCACACATACCTAAAAACTTGCCTCAAAAATATTGCTGCTAGAAATAAGTAAGTGAATCTTGTCTCTTAGTACTATATTGAAATATCTTTTTATAAATCTATTCCCAGAACAGTGGAATGTTATTCTATGTATAGAATTTAGTGGTACAGGCTATAGTGATAACTTTTTTCTTCTGCAACCATCAACAATGTACAGTGGAACCTTGGCTTACGAATTTAATCCGTTCTGTGACCTTGTTCGTATCCTGAGTTGTTCATATGCCGAGTCAATTTTCCTCATTGAAATTAATTGAAATGCAATTAATCCGTTCCAGCCTCTCAGGAGGCATGACATGATAATGCAAATATCAACTTTACAGCTTAGTTATCTATCACAGTTCATCTAATATGACACAATAAACAATATTAATAACATAGAAACATGATATATACTATAGAATGAATAAAATAGGCCATAATATGGCAAGTGATGGCGACACCGGCAGCGGCAGAAAGCATCCGCCATTTACTCTCCCACTCTAGTATCTTCCCAGTCCATAATCCCACACCTAGCTTGTGTTTATATATGATTAATGGTGAGGTTGTCACATACGTAACCACAGGTGTGATCAAGACAGATGTATATATAAGTGAAGACATGATCACTGTGGCCACAGTGGTGGCGGCCAGCTGCCCCACTCTGTTGCTGCCTTCTTCATTTCTCTACCTTTTTTCATAGTTTCTAATCGCTTCTTGCTGATTATATGCAAATACTGTCTCTTTGGGTGAGGCATTGCGTAAGAAATTTGTACAATACAAGACACAATTATGCATCCGAAGGGTCTGCTGTGATCACTCAGATCGGCACACCTCCTTTTCCTTTTGGCTCTTGGTTGGCATTGAGAGAGCCATTGTCATAGCTGTACCTACAGCCACCCAGAGGGTTACCAATTTGTATTTTGAAGCATTTGGCACAAAAATATGAAAAATGTCTAAAAATGACAACATATTATTATTATTAGTACGTACGTACGTATTATTATTATTATTATTATTATTATTAATTTAGGGAACTGGAGCACAGATCCAGTTCCATAGATCAAGCCCATCACCACGTACATACTAATAATAATAATAACAACAGTAAGGAGAAACTTTAAAAGGCACTACCATCAGCAAAACATTGGTAACCACTACTAGTACACTTTTCACCTGTCTAGACTTGGCAGTCTATTAGTACAGTAGGGCCCCACTTATTCAGCAGGTTAGGGTCCAGGCTACTGTTGGAAAGCAGAATGCCATTTTTTTCCACTTACAAATGTAATAAAGTTGGTAGAATTACTAACAATATGTAAAGTAAAAGGACACAAGTGCAACTAATGTGACATTTTATTGTGGCAACATTTCGCTCTCCAGGAGCTCGATAAAGCTCCTGGAGAGCAAAACGTTGCCACAATAAAATGTCATATTAGTTGCACTTGTGTCCTTTTACTTTACACTTATAAATGCAAATAAATGCCAGGTAACAAGTTTACACTGACATATATTACGTTAGCAATAGAACTAGGCATTAAAAACAATAAAAAGTAAAATACATACACAGTACACCCATTACTTACCTTAAAATATTTGTCTTAATGTAGGGTGAGAGGTGAGTTTAATTTGTAGGAAGTCAGGTTTGGGAGGCATGGTAGCCAGCCAGGTCAGCCCACCCTACCCACACGTAATATACATTTAATTAAAGCTCCTCAGTGTGATAAAATACGTATACAGTAGGGCCCTGCTTTATGGCTTTCCGCTAATACGGTGATTTCAAATTATGACCAAAATTTGCTATACGGCATGCGGTCTTTCAAATATGGCGCGCCCCACCCCGTTTCTTTACATTCTCTGTGAGCACATCTATTATGTCTGGAAACTTTCCAAAATTTCAAGTGTTTTCAAGTTGTGTATTTTATATGTACTCTGATAATTATGCTTATGTGTACCTGTACCTAAATATACTTACACACTGTGTTGGCATGTAGGTACACATTAAAATCACTCTCTGTACTCATGACGCCATGGAAATACTACCTAATAATACTCTCTCGAGCACATTAAATGTCTTATTTTACATTAATATAGATATTTTCATTAATCCATCCATGATATTTTCTTCAAAATTATATAAGGAACACGTTACATAGCATATAAACATTATACATACACCCACAGAATAAAAATTGACATAAATATGAGATTTGTTTACAAAGCGGCTTTGTAGGAGTGTCGGAAGAATTACGTTTTTTTCTAGTCAATCACTGTGGGATAACTGTAGATAAATACACCTACCATCCAACTTACGACCTGTTCTACTTACGACCACTCGACTTACGACCGTATTTTTTAAGCCAAATTTCTGGGAAATAAACAACTATTTGTGTTGTACACAGTGTTTATCCTAAACCTTACAGTATAAAATACAGTACTGACAACATAAAAAGTAAAGTAAAACATGAAATACCAAAATAAAACAATAAAATAAAGTCATTACAAAAATGTTTTGTTGATATTCAGTAGTAAAGTTCGACTTACGACCATTTCGACTTACAACCGGTTTCTTGGAACCGAACTTGGTCGTAAGTCGGATGGTAGGTATATTCCTTTTGTATGCCCTCACACTGTGTATATAGCAATTCATGACCCTTATGGGTTTAGTGCTTCTATTTTTATTATAATAATAATTTGTCAGAGCTTGGGTGGTAAATGCAGCAGCAAGGAGACGGTTGGAGGCAGTGGAGATGTCCTGTCTAAGGGCAATGTGTGGTGTAAATATTATGCAGAAAATTCGGAGTGTGGAAATTAGGAGAAGGTGTGGAGTTAATAAAAGCATTAGTCAGAGGGCAGAAGAGGGGTTGTTGAGGTGGTTTGGTCTTAGAGAGAATGGATCAAAGTAGAATGACATGGAAAGCATATAAATCTATAGGGGAAGGAAGGCGAGGTAGGGGTCGTCCTCGAAAGGGTTGGAGAGAGGGGGTAAAGGAGGTTTTGTGGGCGAGGGGCTTGGACTTCCAGCAAGCGTGCGTGAGCGTGTTAGGAGTGAATGGAGACGAATGATACTTGGGACCTGACGATCTATTGGAGTGTGAGCAGGGTAATATTTAGTGAAGGGATTCAGGGAAACCGGTTATTGTCATATAGTCGGACTTGAGTCCTGGAAATGGGAAGTACAATGCCTGCACTTTAAAGGAGGGGTTTGGGATATTGGCAGTTTGGAGGGATATGTTGTGTATCTTTATACGTATATGCTTCTAAACTGTTGTATTCTGAGCACCTCTGCAAAAACAGTGATAATGTGTGAGTGTGGTGAAAGTGTTGAATGATGATGAAAGCATTTTCTTTTTGAGGATTTTCTTTCTTTTTTTTGGGTCACCCTGCCTCGGTGGGAGACGGCCAAATTGTTGAAAAAAAAAAATCATTCCTTCTAAAAATTACATGAGAATGGAAGTCCTGGTCTTTATGTATTCTACTGTACCACTGTGGAGACAACTTGTACACAATGTAAGGTGTTTGTATGAATGTTTATGAACCATAACCAGATGCATCGTCTGTTTACATAGTGGGTGGGGTGGTCAGGCTGGCTTCCCTACACAACCCATAAATATTTTTCACCTTTCACCCTACATTAAGACTACAAATATTTTAAGGTAAGTAATGAGTGTACTGTATATGCATGTTATCACTCTATGGGGCTTTAAGCATTGTCGTAGTATATTATGTGTGGGTGGGGTGGCCAGGAGGGCTACCACACCTAACTTACAGTAAATACTACTCACCTTTTGCCCTACATTGACTACAAATATTTTGAGGTAAATAATGAGTGTACTGTGTGTGTATTTTACTTTATTGTTTTTAATGCCTAGTTCTATTGCTGACTTATATGTTAGTGTAAACTTATCTGGCATTTTTATGCATTTATAAGTGGAAAAAAAATGGCGTTCTACTTTCCTGTGATGTCTGCTTTCCGGCAGTAGCCTGGAACCTAACCTGCCATATAAGTGGGGCCCTTCTTTAAGTACATTCGTTAATTACCTTAAAATATTTGTATTCTTGATACACAAATAACCCGCACATAGAAGAGAGGAGCTTACGTTGACATTTCGGTCCGACTTGAACCATTTACAAAGTCACAGTAACGAGAAGTAGAGCAGGACGAGTATATATAGGCAGAAAGAGGTAGTGGTAGTAGTAGTAGAAGTGGTAGTAGTGGCGGAGATGGAAGGAAGAAGCAATGGGGAAGTAAGGAGGAGGAGCCAGTCAAATACAAAGAAAGGGGAACACTGCAAGGAGCTAGGTGCCCACAGAGGGAGAGCAAGAACACAGAGGTGGGGGAGGGGAAAATAATGAAATAAATAATGAAGGAACAGAAACACAAGACCGAAGAAAGAATGACAACCCAGACAAGAAAAAAGGAAAGGGGAAGAGGGAGAAGAAGAAAAAAGGAGGAATCAGGTTAAGTCATGTGTGTTCTGAAGTTTGGAGCATTTTGCAATATAGTGGGAGAGGAAGGCATCTACAGAGACGAAGCCAGGACTAAGATTCATACAAGGAAAGTTGTGTATTAGGGAGGATTCAACAAGACAGTGACTGTTAAAGTTGGAAGTAGGGAAGACGGTTTTAGCAGAAGACCAGTCAATAGGATGGCTGTGATCTCTGACGTGACAGAAAAGAGCATTGTTAGTGTCGGCAAGCCTAACACTATTTTTGTGCTCCCTAAGTCTGTCAGAAAGAGATTGTCCAGTTTCTCCAAAGTATTGAAGAGGACAGGAGGAGCAAGAAATAGAGTAGACACCAGGAACATCTGTAGAGGGAGGAGAGGTATGAACAAGATTAGTGCGAAGAGTGTTTGTTGTTGTATGTTTGGAAGCGACCGCGGTGGCTGGCTGGCTTGTAAACACTGGCACCAAAGGGACAAGTGAGGCGCGCTCAGGCCAAAGTGGACGCGTATGGTACGGAACGAATAGCGCTGGTCGGTTTTTAAGCGCTAGCCGAGGCAAAATTTTTGCGTTTAAATGAATCGCTAGTCA